AAAGAGTAAACGATGAAAGAGTAGGGGGAGAAGGAGGAGGAGGACCGGGGGTAGCCGCTTATTCTCTTTTCCGAGGGTGCTGTTCCCTCCATCTAGTTTTCCTCCTCTACGATTAGGCGCCTTAAATAAATGAAACTTCTAGTACAGCGTGCAAGAACAGGCGGCACCGGCATATAAATCCTCTCGCTTCGTAATTTCAAACTCAAACAGCAGAGCGGGCCGACAACTCACCCCATTTACTTTTCGTCCTCTTGCTTTCGCTCTCGACTCGCAACCCACGTATTTTCCTTGTTCGTGGATGGTTAGGACGTTGGAGAGGGTGTCGAAGGGTGACTCTGAGATTTTGGCGGCCTACTGTGGGAGGAGTGAATACGCGTGCTAACGTATCTAAGTAGGGGAAGAAAATGTCTTAGCAAGGTCATGCTATCAAGAATTTTAATATTTTTTTTCCAAATTTTTACCTATCAGTCTATGAAAATGACAAGGGGTAAAAGACAATGGGGTAGACAATACAAAAGTTATAATTTTATCTCCTTAATGTAGAAAAAAACCTTTACAATGTTTTAAGAAGTTAATCTCTCTCTCTTTCTTTTTCTATCTCTTTTTCCTTCAGACAATCAAATAGTCAGAGCTTGTTTGGAAGTTCTTCCATGGAAATCGACGATGCATTCTAAGGTCGTAGTAGAGGCATCAACGACTTTTGTACTCTTCTGACTCGACCCCCCGGCACCCGGAATCGTATCTCTTCTATTTCAACCACCATTCCCGCAAGTCCTCCTCCATTCTAAATCTGCCGTAGCAGCAGCACCACCACCACCACCACTACCGTCACGGCAGCCCAGCTCTTCGTCCTCCGTTGGCTTTGTCTGCAACTTCAGCCGGGTGTTTCGCGATTATAATTTAACGACGCTGGCAACGAAGCGAAGTTGGCCCCAGAAATCAATGCGCGCACGAGACAAAAGCCAGCGACGACAGAAAGTGTGAGAGAGGATGAGGAAGGGGAAGAAGAGATAGGATAGCGAGAAAGATGAACGGAGAAATAGAAAGAGAGAAAGAGAGACAGAGAAAGAGAGAAAGAGGGAAATGGAGTAAGCTTGGTGGAGAACGGTTTTGAAGGATACAAGGGGGTCGCCTCGAGAAAGGCCGAGGATGCTTCGAATGTCTACGCGTGTACGGGAGGGAACGATAAGTATTTCAGATGGTGCTTGTGACCTTACGAAATTCGACCCTATTTTCCTACAGGATAATACTATAAACTTGTAGCTACTTTCTCCTTCTATTCAAAATTTCAACCCTATTTAATGTTTCATTTCCAGTTTTGATTCAATAATATTATCATTATAATAAAAAAAGAGGCTTTAATTTTTGTATATAAAAAATATTCAAGATATCTATCGCAAAGAAAAATAAGGTTTTCGAATAATAGAATGTCCTAAATAATGATACACAAAACCTTGACACAAAATTTAACATCCCATCTCGATAATTCTTTCTCCATTTGTTCATTTTTATAAAAAGGCAAAAGTTAACTCTTTATTTTTTTCAACGGCCTTACTTCCTCTCCAATCTCCAATGAACGACGATGGTACACACGCCAGGCATTTGTGGCGGGTATTAAGAAATCTCTGTGGACGTTTGGCGGTCGGCCAACATTCCCGGCGAATTAAAATACCGCGACGAACGTGCGGGGTATCTCGAATTCGTTGAGGTTTTCTCTGCTACTTTTTTCTTCTTTTCATTTGGATTCTTTCTTCTAAATATAGATATTCCTTTTAAATTCATTAGTTTGGTAGATTTTGCAGGAAACCCAATTAGCGAATACGTATGACTTACTGTTACTTAATTATCCATCAAAATATAAGAAATAACTACGTTTATAGGACTTTAGCGAGAGCGCTGTTAGATATATTGCTTTCCCTTACCACTTTTACGAATCTAATGTAATCAAATAATCGAAAGTATCTTTAAATGGTAAAATGAAACCAAACCAAGAAAGTGTATACGTATTTTAAAGTTGATAGCCGAGTTTCGGAGATTCTGATCTCCTTTCCCATAAGTTCATTGACCTTTCTAAGATTTAGCAAGAAAATTATCAAGGAACCAAAAGACCGTAATCAGAATAAGAAAAAGAATTTTTAGAAAATGACATTAAATCCAATTATCGAAATATTGTCTAAAATTCATAGTCAAAAGCTAAGGAAGAGAGTGGTATCTGTCTGTATCTCTGTCCCTTTTCGAGATATTTCGTAACGCTAAGGGGGTGGTAAAGAAGGTTATGGGGGTGAGAATGGGTGGAGGGGGGGGGAGAAGATAGCACGGAATCACGGACTGAAGCATTTGAGGATGCGTACCCGGTGTACAAAGTCGTAGCTCGCGGCCCTTTCATTTGTAAACGAAATTACAGAATAAGGTTGAGACAGAAACGTGAAGTGAAGTGCTTAAGAGAAAGAGAAGCGTACTAGCATAGACTGCATATAGAGAGAAAGAGGGGATGGAGAAATAGAAGAAGAGAGAGTGTGTAAAAGAGAGAGAGAGAAAGAGAGAAAGAGAGAAAGAGAGAGAGAGAGATAAAGTCGACGTCGAGGTGAGGTCGGTTATACTACGAGGTTGGCAAGACGAGGGACCGTTGAGGAGTTCGAAGGGAAGAGGATGAGAAGCTGTAGGAGGAGGAGGAGGAGGAGGAGAAGAAGAAGAAGAGAGTAAAGGGAAGGAGGAGAGCGGCGAAGAGGGTGGATTTTACTCTGAAGCAAACGGCTCAAAGGAAATTAAGGAGCATTCACTCTACGAGAAGCTTCCAACGGAGAAATATCGTCTGTGAAGTGGGAGATAGAAGCAAGGAGAATAAGATGGAATACTAGGAAACCCCCTTTTCACCCACCCATTCTCTCTTTCAATTTCTATCTCTCTTTCTCTTTTTCTTTTTCATTGCTTCATTGTCAAAGTACAAAGCCGCTGCCATGGTGATGTTAAACGAACTGAAAAAATGAGATACGTGTTACACGCTTGATTCTTGATTCTCATGGGCTGTGTTGAACGCGTTAATTTTTTTTCTTGAAAAATGTAGAGAGAAAAAGATGAGATATAGCGATCTCTTGTACACACGCAATTGGCGTAATCTAGTATCCTAAGACCTTCTTGCAAGATAATTGGGAATTTTAATGAGCGGAGTCATGTCAGGGAACATTGTTAAGAATTTGGTTAAGGAAGACGTCTAGGTATATTAATGTCTTGATAAATTTAATGGTCAATAATTAGGAATCGATATACCATCTGCCTTAATCCGTAAATAAATGTATAAACATGCAAACGCGTTTCCTTCAGTTTACTCCTGCCTATTAGTTTCTTTTTGTACAGCATTCTTTGAAGCTGGGAATAAACTTGATGATCTTCAGGATTCAATATTATATTGATTGCAAAAGGATTATATATTTTTACAATGCACCAACTTGTATAGTTGCATGTCATTTAAATTAAAACGATCAATAATTCAAATACAGTTAATCCTGAATACTATATAAATATATAAAAAATATAATATGTAGCATGAATAATATAATATATATGACTTATTTATCAATTTAATATGTAAAATATAAGATAAGAATGTGTTACTATTACATTCTCGAACTTACTTTTTAAATGTATGGAACAAGATTTTACAGCAATAAAAACTTTAATATAATAAATGAATTAAATATTAGTTAAGTTTTAAATTTAATTCTGAATAATGTATAACAAAAAGTACTTAAATAAAAAGATAAGTAAAATGCATAGCAAAAATATGTTCATATTCTGCAAAAGATCCTTGCCGACTACCTTGAATAATGACTGTAAACACAATGCTCGCTGAGCACAATACCAGTCATACTTATACCTAAGCTACGATCGTAAATAAACCTTGAATGAAACTAGCGACGCTCGAATATGACGTAAAAAAATTTATTTTGAAATATTTTCTGCTCGAACTACTAAAAAAATTTTCAATAATTAACGTATACAAGGTATGAAAAATTATAAAGGGAATTTATAAAAGAAATCAGGAAGATTAATTCAATCCTTTTTTCCTTCTAATATTGAATCAAATTCAAAATCACATTAATTAATCATAGATCGTATTTGAATATTTCAATATAAAACGTAAAAAAAAGATTGTAAAAAATGTATAACTTTAAAGAGAATCTTACGTAAATTAAATAAAGAATACTTTTAAAATTATAAAAGAAACGAACTATAAAAAATGCTAAATTAATTTCAACAATTTCGTTTGTAACAGTCTTTCTTCTCTCTTTCTCTTTCTTACACAGACGATAAAGTAACATAGAAGCTTTAGTAGAACGTTGGCAGCAGCCATAAACTAAGAAGAGAAGCGGGGAATCTTGACGAAGGTTTCGTAAGCAAGGCGGTGGCTTGAGAGTGAGAGGAAGATGGATAGATAGATAGATAAAGAGGAAGAGAGAAGAAGAAGAAGAAGAAGAAGAAGAAGAAGAAGAGAGAAGCTGCGCTGCTCTCGTCCTGTTTTTCATCCCTTATTTTGCCAGAGGGGATAGAGAAGAGAGCTGGTAAGACGGGGGTGGCAGTATGGCCGCTTTACTTCGGGACTCCGCCCTCGAGTGGATGCCCCCAAAAAGGGGAGAACTTGGAAAACCTGACGATCCTACAGGATAGTACAAAGTACGTACTTACGGAGTGGTACAAAATGAAAAGGGGATGACACTTGTGAGAGGCCTTTTGAAGGATAGAACTATTTGGATGATCTATTTTTTTAACGTATTTCATTTAACACAAATAATTTTTCTCATTAATATTAATCGTATGTTAATCGTTATAAAGATCTCCATTATTATTAAATTCTTTCAGGTAAGATCATATTTTTATAACCCGTCAAAATTCATAAATATAAATTAATGGAAAATAATATGATTTGAATTACAAAAATGAGGAGTAAATATGATAGGAATAAAAATGAAGACTATGCTTTAAAATAATGGTTAATATCTTACCGGGTTTGAAGATGAATCCGAATGATTTTTTAAGGAACAAACTTTGTTGAAAGCGTCGATCACGAGACAAAATTGCATACTGACCAGAGGCTAGGAGAGCGTGTCCAAGTACTGGTCTACTGGTGTGCCCCACTCTTCTTGTCTCCCCCTAAGTGACCGGTGAGCCTTTGGATATATGGGAAAGCAAACCAGTTTCGTACGGAATAACACGCCAAATAAGATGGACAGCCGAGTGGAGGTCAACCTGACTCAGATATCGGAAGAAAGGAAAATCGTGTGGAGAAGATGAGTGAGAAACCTGTTCTGGGTCAATCCTGGGCCCTGCTGACCTACAGATGGGCCTAAGGTTCTTGCCCCTTCCTTCCAAATTTTCGGTACTCCCTGTGGGAAAACACGAAGCACCGTTACGATCACGGATTTCGATATCTACTTGTACTTAATACATGATCATTACTTATGTATAGGTTTTAAGAAAAGTAATAAGATAATTACACATAGACCTATTTAGATTACTATATAAATAAGTAAATATTAAGTATTTTATTTAAAAATCTTGTTTTTTATTAAAATTATTGTTCTATTCTTTTTAAAATTATCTGCGATATATTCATCTTAATTTGAGTGTATACACTCGTGATTATTTTTTAACTTATATAAATAAAATTTATTTTAATGTTGTAATGATCGATCAAAATTATACATTATACAAAATACGTTTTTACATATATTTTTTACTATCATATTATATCTATTTTTATGTCACTTTTTTCTCGATATATATATATGTAATACATTATAAATAAAATTAATCAATTTCAATCGATATCTTTCCTACAAAAGTTTTATCGTAAAATAATTTCAGATACTTGAATATAAAGAATTATTCCGTTCGGCAATATCAATATGAAGAAGAAAAAAAATCTTTTTATCATCGAGTATGTACATCTGGTAACACACGAAAACAAGATCAACCGGATATACGAAACAGTTGCGACCAGTTCTTCCCACTTCCTCGTACTGCGACGACGACGTCCAGTTAGACCAGTTTTCAAATATTTCTGGGACAGGACAATGTCCAACGGCGTACAGGCAGATGCGACGTTCCAATGGAAAGTCCGGCAGTGTCCGAATGAAATTTACTTTTTGATTCAAATGTCTCGCTAACGAAAAGGATTTATCGCGTACGCGCCCCGCTTCTTTTTGGTCTCCCTTTTCCAATCTCTCCTCTTTCTCTTTTCTTCTTTTTTTTTTCGTTTGTTTCTCTATCCCTACCTCTCACGTAGATTTACTCTTTTTTTTTCGATGCAACACTTTTCTATCATTTATACAAAACTCACTCGTTTCGTTCAACTCGACACATGGAAATTTTTCTTCGCAGGGGAAAAAGAAAGCCGAGTATAAAAGGGGTAGAAATCGAGTAGACTATTGAGCTGTCAAGACAACGCGTCGGATGGTGAACAACGTGAAACGTAATCGATATTCATTAAGAAACTTTAATTAAGTTCTGTGGAAGTTGCCATGGTGGATGACGTACAAATAAGAAGTACTTGCATTATCACGATCCGAAGAAAAGAACAAAGAGAAATGTTGGAAATATAAACTATGAAAAGACTCTACTAAAGACGAATACGGAATATTTCTATGTGATCGATACTCTTAAAAGTTGTATGGAAACTTTCTGAAGATGTTCAAAGAACTTTTATAAATTTCCTCTTACAGAATAAATGGATAATATCGATAATATTTTGTTCCTCATTTCCTTTCTTCAATTATTAAATAATGTATCTATTAGTTACGTCATTAAATACAAATTTTATTATTCTAAATAAAGTCTATCTGGTACGATCGAAGGTTGAATTTAACTGTTGAAAATATTCGCTTGCTGAAATAATAAATAATATCGACTCTCTTTCTTTTTCTTTTTATTTTCTACAATAGGGTTAAATCTAATTGTAAGAACACGACGGTGAAGAGAAATAATATCTCCCTTGGTCCAGTGACCAATGGTCAAGGGTGTTCTCTTTTACTGATCACATCATTAGCTCAGTATAGTGTCGACTTAACAATGCAACTAAATCTTTCGCGTGCGGTCAGTTGGTCATTAATAAGCAATTATTCTACGCCTCATTACACCGCGAGCGAATGCATAAGATTGTCCTCGACAAAGGTGAGCTGGGGAATGAAAGTTAGAGAGACGTATTGCTCTCTCTCTCTTTCTCTTTCTCTCTTTACACATATTAATGCGTGTGTGTTTTGAGTATGTTAGTATTAAGGCGCCTGTGGTGAAGGTCCACACGATCACCTTCTACGTGCCTTCCTATGACGACTTCCAATGCCTCGAGGTATCCTGACCCCTCTGTCCACTATGCCTTGGTATCGAGCCAAATTGGTTCCTGGTATTCATACCGAGAACTTGACCACACGAGCTATTTTTTTTGTTACATTACTCCGATTCATGTATACTCATTCTTCATGTTAGTATTAAACGATCGATAAAAAATTAGAATATTTTAGTACACCTATAACAATTTGAAATGTTTCTTTATCTTTAACAAAGTATACAAAATGTATATAATAACTGGGCCTAAATATTATTTGTTTCTTTTATTTCTTTTGCAGATACAACATAATTGTAGAAATGATTTTTTAATTATTTGATAATTTCTATCATCAAGCAATGCTAATTTTTGCATGAGTGCATTGATGCAACCTATTTGTTATTAAAAAATTTTCGAATAAAAAACTTCTTTATGAATCATACAAAAAAAAATAAATATCTAGAAATTCAAAATATATCTTATACATACTAGAAAAATATGTCACCAAGAAATAAGTAGGTATAAACATTATGCATATCAAGATTCTTCCTTAATGTCAAAGAGAAAACGTTTTCTCCGTATTTGCTCGCGTCACCGGTTCACTACGAAATTATATTCTTGTAAAGTCGATATAGATGATATTCAAAGAAATCCGAAATTCAAAGGGATCAAAAGGGCTTTCTCCTTCGAGCGAAAGGGTCGCTCCTTGGGATGGGTTCACGACCATGTAGCTGGAGGAGCTTCAGTAAATATCTCTGGTCCGAAAATAGATAATCCATAGACGTAGATCTTCTGTAAAAGACGGAGACACGAGTACATCGTTGTCATCGTCGTCATCATCGTCGTCGTCGTCGTCATCATCGTCGTCATCGTCGTCATCTTCATCTTCTTCTTCGTCGTCGTAGAACGTTGTGGCAAGACAGGTATTGAGAAAGAGTGTGACATAGAAGAGGGTAAAAGGTACGTTACGATGAGGAGGAAGAAGTGGAGAAGGAGGCAGTAGAAATAGAGGAGGAGAAGGAGGAGGAGGAAAAGGAACAGGAGGAGGAGGGGGAGGGAGTGGAAGAGAGCGCATGCGGATGGTATTCGCGAGCATATAAGTAAAGTTTGCTCGCAACTTATAATAGGGACGCCTTGCATATCACGAGAAGGATGAGGTACCAAGGTTTGAAGCTAGGTTACTCCAGTAGACGAACTTGTACGGTAATAGACCATGCAGGTGCAATCTACGACGGCAGGCAAATTGCAAAGAGGACTAGACCGGGCAGAACATGGTTATCGATGCTTTGTGTTTCAGTGTTCCTCTCTCTATCTATCTTCCATCGTTCCTTTTCACCCTCTCTCTCTCTCTCTCTCTCTCTCTCTGTTTCTTATACGAAAACATATACACACACATCTATTTAATTTTCAAGTCTCTCCTTCGTAACTTAAGATAAAGAATTTTGAACAATCATGGGTAACATTATATTACAGTTAGTTGCTAAGATCTTTGGTTATTGTATCAGTAATTATATAAAAAAATTCCTCACTTTTCTCGCATAATTTTTTCAATCTCCTATAATTCAATTGAATAATGTGGAAATTATATTTTTATTTATATTAGTATATTTAAATACATTATGAAAATGTTTAGTTATACTTAACAAACATAAGATATTTTACTTTTTAAACAACAATATTGTTGCGATAAAATGAATTAAAACTTACAAAACTGAGATATAGGTACCAAATAACTGATAATAAATTCCGAACTTGTAATTTCATGAATAATCAACGAATATTTATTTTCTTTTTCTTTTGTAATAATTCACAATATACGTTTAAAATAATTTCATGTACATTTAATACTGGTTAGGACATTGAGAAAGCCTTTTTTAAAATCATTTTTAAGTTTCTCCTCGGTAATGTATTCAAAATAAAAGAATATTTGCTATAAAATTGACTACATAAAAAGAAATTAAGCGTACAAAAAAAAATCTTCTATTAAAAAAACATTACTCCGAAATAATGTACAAATGTTTTGAAAAAGGCTTGTTGTAAAACAATCATTAAGGTGTGTATGTGCACCGTTAAAAACTGAAAATCTTTCCATGTTTATTACATTTAAAAGTGCTTATTTTTAACGTCTTTTGTAAAAAAAAAAAATATTTGTTGGTGTAATTAATTATATAAAAGTAATTATTAAATTTTTAAATAATTTTTAAAGTTACAAGCTTTACAGTTATTGCTAATTAGTTTGAACTATTCTGTATATATGTAGTTTGTTTTAAAGTTACATAGCATTTAAAAAAACATGATATCCTAAGGGTTCAATTAATATAAGGTCTACTATATAAATACAATAGGAATATTGTAAAAATATTGTATTATAAAATACAAATATCAACTATTATCGTGTTTCTATTTAAATAAATTATAAAAAAGGTTATATTTTTAAATACCTACGAAAATAAGATGTTTTGTATTTCTACTCTTACGTGTTCACTAAACGGGTAAAAATTTTTTGCTTCAAGATTGCCTGTCTAGAAGTAGGGTCATATAAAACAGTAAATTTTTTCATCTAGATGATTATCTGAAACGAACTAGTAGGTTCCCCTTCAGAATTTTGCAGTGCCTTCCTATACGAGGCCCATTAAAACCTTAGGCGGGGCCTAGTAAGTCCTTTAACCGTACAATGAACGCTAGCGTATGGTTGACGGTGTGAATGGAAAAGGTGATCGGCCATTTGCATTATTCGAGTCGATTTAT